GTATGCTTCAATACATTTACATTAGTGTGAGAAATGTGAAATGTGAGAGTGAAAGTTGAAAATTTTTACTCATTTTTGCTTTCTTTTGCTTGTGAAGAGTTGTTTTTCTCACCACTTCGTAAGGCGAATTTCATTGCAATTGGGCTAGGTTAAAAATATTCAGAACCCCAATGCTTCAAGCGTTTTGAGTACGTGGGACAGAATGGATCACCGGTCGTTCTGTTGTTCATCGATTTGCTCGAGCATTCGCCAGCAACGTTCCCATTTCGTCCCTGTCGCGAACCACTGCAGTCAAGTGAATCCTGTTTGCTTGAAGGACACGGTGCATATCAGTCATCCGTTTTGTTCAGAGTTTTCTGAAGAATTCTAATCATCGGACTGACTGCCGTACAGGAGTTCGTTGGAAGTCCCAAGGGATCCGGTCGTTCAACTCCCTGGTCGAATGGTCATGACATAATCGCCTGACTTGTCCAGCCCTTAGCTCTCCAATTCTTCAGAGCCGAGACTATTTGCGTAAAATGAGAGACTCTGAACATCGTCCTACCTACAGCAGTTTGAATGTGCTGATTGCATGCTCCACTGCTCGCGTAGAGCGTAGGGTGAAGCAGGAAGGTCAGTTCGAAAGGCCGGGTCCAGAAAGTGCCATTCAAAATTGAAGTTCATTCCGATGCCAAACTATTCTAAACAGCACAGCCTCGTTGCTACAAGCAAGTTTCCGTTAATTGAGAATTGGAAGTGTTTTACCTTCACATTGAACAGGATTCTAGCAGTGTCTGTTTGTTCATTTAATGTTGAGGTGATTTGCCAGAAAGCTGAAACGTTCAGTACAGACGGTATAGTTTACTCTTAATTAAAATGGCTTTGTTGTGTAAAAAAGACCTAAAAAGATGCTTAGGTCTCAATCAGGCGATTTGAGACCTTCCAGTAGTTGAGTTCGAGTGAGTTCCTAGTCTATTTACCTGTACAGTTCGCCATCGTTACTTTCACTTTTGTCCCGTAAATTTCTTCAGTTAAGATGGTCCCACACGTTGCTTACTACAACCCAAGGGTCCTTGCCGGAAAGCATGTTTTCATGCTTACCTTGTTGCGGGGAGTGGTTGCTCGGCTAGTTTGAATTGAAGGAGCTTATGGTACGACTTGTATGTTTCCGATATCGAAATGTACGGCGGAAGTCCAACATGTTCGATATGATTTATGCGTGATAGCATATGGCAGAAAGGTTGAACGCGACAAAGTCTCAAGCAACCCACCCCTGCTGGGCGGGGCTTGCGCATTGAAATGCGTCCGATTACGACAGGCTCGCCATAAATCGATAAGCAGATGAGCAAGAAGCTTTACTCCAGTAATTATATCTTGAGCAGCATTGACATGCTACCATTTCTAGAAGTAGTATCTGCCAAGCAGTGGCAGCTGGCTATAGTCCTTGAGCATGAAATTCGCTGAGGAAAGACATTGATGTGATAGGTTGGCACCAGTAACCCACCAGTCGCAGGAGCGCCTCTGCACTAGCGCATGCCCACGTCCGCTAAAAGAGCACAGGATGATTGCGAGTTACTTTTTAAGTATGAGCGGACTGCAGGAAGTGTGTAGGAAGTAGCTGAAGATTGTCTCCAAGTCTATTAAAAATACGCAATTACCTCAAGTGAAATAAGTTGTTAGGTCTGGACGAACATGCGTTTGCACTATGTAGTTAATAGGATTTGACTCAATAATATGGTTAGTTTTAATGTTGGATTAAATATAACGGAATGCATAAGAAAGCTCTATTCAATTACTGGTTTCCATGGAAAATAGCTCTCATATCATACAACGAGTTTGCTTATACAATCATACGGCAGGACACTGTCATCGGCAATTCAAAAAGAAAAATAGAGAAAAAGTCTTGGAAATTAAAAATAGCATTGTAGCGAAGATCTAAAATGCTGCAGAGAAAAAGAGCAAAGTAATGTTTCCGTAGAAAACTAAAAAGGACGGCTGTACGGATACAGCGCTACAGCCAGAAGAGTGGGTTCTTGCTCTCACGCAACCATCTTATCAGTCGTTGCCCCGAATCCAGACATGGGGGAAAATGGTTCAAATACCTGTGCAGATCAATTGCTCAAGTGAAGATTTCATGTAGAAGCCAAATATCCTCCACCCACAGGAACAAAAATTCGGTATGGTAACTCGACAGTGAGCTTATGGTGGAATTAAATGCAGTGGACGCAGAATTTCACAGACAACATATTTTCTTTCACGGTTTAACTGTATTTGAATATAAAAATCCTCAATTCGCCTATATACGACGCATCAAAAAGGGACCATGGATAAGGACACGGGGCGGGTTGGCTGGCCAGCCGGGGACTGTGTTGTATCGAGTTCGAGTCAGGACCCAAAGCTGATTTACTTCGGGAACCATATACCCAGTCTGAGTTTTCGTTTCCGCCCTTTGCCCGCTTTGGACCCTTTCTAAACTTAATTTAAAATCTCTTAATGCACTAAAGTAATGCATCGCTAAAATCATGAAACTTTACAGATTAACTATTCGAATAACGTTACACTTTTTTTCTACTGTATTTTACTTTTTCCTTATTACTTCATCTTTTTCCGTTCCATTTATCCAGGAGAATTCGGTACCGGTAGGGTTATCATAGAGTGATGGTAACGCCTCCTCATCAATGTAGATCTTGGCTTCAGAATATAGGAACGGCTAAATCATTTCGATTTTCAGTAATTTTTAGCACAAAGCTTTGTTCATTGTCATCTCCGGGTAATTATTTCCAAGTTTCTATATTAGGTTGAATGCGCATATTTTACAGCAGTTGTATTTCGACGTAATTCGATCATTCAAAATCGTTGTTCGTTCATATACCAATACG